TTCCCTTGGAAAAACAGTTCACTAATACCAGTGATGAGGACTACCGAGAAAATTTAATTAAAAAGGAACAATTATGCAGAATTTACTAGCTATTTGATTGTTAACATTTAAGCAAAATAGCTAAAACTATCCAGTTAACAAATATATTAATTCAGGATTGTTTATTTATCTTATCATGAAAAATAGGTTAGGTTATACAGACAGATTGAGCACATCTGCTCTGCGCATGCACGCTCCAGCTGCCCACTTCACAAACTCGGAATTTATCGAGCTCGCTCTGAGCGCTCAAAATATGTCAAACACAATCAAGCGTTGTCGGAGCTTCAAAAATAACGGAAGAGAGACAAAAGTGGAAGCTCTGAGTGCTCTGAGCGTGAACCCAAACGCGCCCTTAATAGGTCTGTTTCTGCAGAAACCTCAAACCAGTCAGAGCGAATTTCATTGGTTAAAAACAAGTTAAAAACAGTCAGAAAACTAGTTCAACCAATGAAATTCACTCTGACTAGTTTGTGATTTCTGCAGAAACAGACTTAAAATAAAGTATATTTTAGGGAATTTTATAATAATTTTTTATGATAATTTTTTGTGATACTTTTTATTATTATTATATTTTAATTTGTTTTGTGAATTTTTTATAATGATTTTTGTAATAATTTATTATAGTGCAAACTATACAGGGTGTCCCACGGTGGATGGCGTATTAGACGTTTATGGAGAACTAAAAAGCGGATCGTTTTGAAAATTTGGCAACCGGGATAAACGACCGTAATCTACACTTTAAAAATATTTTTGTTTATGCGGTGTTGCCGCTTCGACTCTTAACCAGTGGCAACATCGCTATTTTAAACAGAACACCATGTATGTGATTGTATATTTGGATTCTCCGTAAAATTCTGAACAGATTTCATGTGATATACCCTATACCTAAGTTCAACTGTTTTGGAAATATTGACAGTTGAAAATTGACTTTTTGCAACTTTGACAGGCTGTAAAACCTAAATGGTTATCTTTAGAGGAGAACCGATTTTACATTTCTGTCTTAGATTTTTATAAACTATCATTTGACACCAACTTTAAATTTAATCCATGATTAAAAATTCCAATTAAATTTAATATCCGGTTAGATTCAAAGTTGGTGTCAAATGATAGTTTATGAAAATCTGAGATAGGAATGTAAAATCGGTTCTCCTTTAAAATTAACCGTTTAGGTTTTACAGCCTGTCAAAGTTGCAAAAAGTCGATTTTCAACTGTCAATATTTCCAAAACAGTTGAACTTAGGTATAGGGTACGTATATCACATGAAATCTGTTCAGAATTTTACGTAGAATCCAAATATGCAATCACATACAGGGTGTTCCATTTAAAATAGCGATGTTGCCAGATTGCGGTCGTTTATCCCGGTTGCCAAATTTTCAAAATGATCAGCTTTTTAGTTCTCCATAAACGTCTAATACGCCATCCACTGTGGGACACCCTGTATAGGTTTACTAAACTGTATGTCCTTTTTTTAAGGATGTGAAAATCTGTTATTTGTGCAGTGTGAATAAAGTTCTGTTATTATTATTATTATTATTATTATTATTATTATTATTATATTCTAAACTACGATCGCTGGCCCAAACAGTTGCATGACGTCGTCAATGGTGCTCAGGGATATGCGTCTACACGTAGACTTTCATTGTCTACTTTAGGTGTAGATAATTTAGACAATGTAGACAACGTGTCAACAATGTAAAATAATATAAATGACGTTTAATTCTAACCTCACACTTTCCTTTTTTTTATTATTTTTATTTTATCATTGGTTTTTCTGATATTTTTATAATCGTGAATGCTAATATCGAACTAATAGTGATAGTATAGTAACTTTTGATTTTTTTTTTCGAATTTTTTAAAATAAGTTATTGTATACGCCGCATGTAGACATTGTGTAGACAAATGCTCACGTAAACAATTCGAATTGTCTACGCGTAGACAATCAATTGTTTACGTTGACATTGTCTACAGGCACATCATTGAATTGGTGCTACACAATATGGCCGCGATTCCCAAAAAAAAGGTGGATAAGCAATACTGTGTAGTAATGTGTATTATCCTTGCCCCATGATTACAAAAAATGCAGCACCTAAAGCAAAGGCGTTTTCTCGCGTTTCAAATGTTTCGAAACATTTTTCAAAACTGGTTTAAGTAATGTCACCATGACGTCATAATTTTTCGGCGCGAGAATCTTTTATGAAACTCCAAATCATCCAATTCAGTGAATATATCATTCTTGCCCTCACATTTCTGGGCCTGGGAAGATCTTCATCTAATATATGGATCATCCAATGAACCTCCAAAAAAATTCAGGTCAATTTCATCCATTCTGTTCATTTTGCCAAAAAATAAAAACTTATAAAGTACCTACCAGTAATTAAAATTTAACAAACCATCCATTCTTTCCAATTTATGAATACCTACATTCGATTTTTTTTTAAAAAAAGAAACAATAACAATAACACTTATCAGACAGATAATTTCCTTAACAGCCCAAATTTCGCCTGACAACTTTATCAGACTGATATTTACTACTCAAGGTTAGTGAATACCGAATTTTACGTTAACAGTCTGACAAGCAGTTTATCAGACTGATAAGCAGTTAGCGGTCGTTGGTGAATACGGCCGTAAGAAGTAAGAACGAGATTATCCCCATCAAAAACCGGAACATGTGTTTTTGCGGATATTTTGGGAAGCGATGCAATTTTTTCTACCAGGAGCCCCAGGAGACAACCAAGCCCTAAGCAAAAAATATTTTCTTTGAAATCTTTAGGTTAGGATCGTTAGGATAGTGGATTATCGAAAACATAAGGTGTTTTTTCTCGGTTAAATTGGTTAAACCAGGTTGAACCTAATTCAAAACATTACATTTTCGCGTTGAACTAATGACGTCATAACAAAACTGTTTGAAAATATTTTGAAACGAGATTCCGCATCGGTTCAGGCGAATACCCAGAAAAAAAAAAAAAAATTCTAGGTTATGTGTGGTTAAATTCTTCTGGTTTGAAAAAATCATTTTTTCTCGAATGAAAGTAATAACGTTATTTTTCAACGGGTTCAAAACAGATTTCAAAATTATTTCGAACTGCTGGGGCTCGAGAAAAAACACTTTTAAATTTTACGGCCTTTTGGAAATATATTTAGGAAGTGCGCATGCCCGCTCTTCTTGCGAGGTGGTGCTCATGGAGTGAACTCTTTTCACTCTACTTGGCTGTACCCGAACGATGAGGAGCTTGCACTATTTGCTCTCAGTGGCGTGACCCGAACGATTTTGCAGTGAAAAGAGTCAAAAGAGTTGCCAAGCCGAACTCACCTTAAGGCGGTTACACACGGACGTGGAATTCTGAAAATATGTACGCACATACATGAACGCGCAAACAAAAACATCAATGTGTGTGCAAAATACCATCGCGTTTTTGAATGTGCAATTTTGTATGCACACTCGGAACACTGTAGCAAGAATGGGCGGTTACACACGGACGTGGATGTCTTAATACATATACGTGCATACATCAACGTGCAACCAAGAACGTGCATGGCGCTTTTGTACACACGCTCGTACAAAACTGCAGTCTTCCTATTCTTGCTACAGTGTTCCGAGTGTGCATACAAAATTGCACATTCAAAAACGCGACGATATTTTGTATACACATTGATGTTTTTGTTGCACGTTCATGTATGTGCCGCGATGTGCGTACATGTTTCCAAACATCCACGTCCGTGTGTAACCGCCTATTCTTGCCACAGTACAGTGGCGGCTCGTGGTATCCAAGTAAGGGTGGGCGACAAAAATAAAAAACAGCCGTTGGCAATTTTTTTTTAGATTTTTAAGGTCGTGGCCTTTTCAAATATTGTATTAAAAGTATTTTTTATTTTTCCATTTTTTCTCCAGGGTAGCGGCGCCCACCTTGCCCATATGGGCAAACCGCCACTGCCACAGTATTCCGAGTGTGCATACAAAATTGCACATTCAAAAACGCGACGTTATTTTGCATACACATTGATGTTTTTGTTTGAGCGTTCATGTATGTGCGTACATGTTTTCAGACATCCACGTCCGTGTGTAACCGCCTTAAGGTTTATCTGCCAATCTGAAATATCTGGTTTTGCTCAGAATCGACCGTAGGAACAACGTTAAAATTCCACTATTTAGGTACTGTAGCGCTTTGATCTTTAATCGATAGTACTGCCCTCTAGGATTGGTCAAGCGAAATATGATTCCAGTTTTCCATATTAATTTAGTTCTGATTGTTGTCTGGATTGCAGTAGCGGCCAGTGGCAATCTAGTGTGGTTGTGCGCTCTTGGAAAATTTTTTGGAGGTGCCACGGTGCCACGTCCTGTTCTACATTTATTTTGTATGTTGAATTTTTTTATCTTTACTTTACGAAAAATTATCGAAAACAAAAATATATGTATTTAAATGGGGCTTGAATGTTTGTATTCTAGCCATAATACATAATTGATATTGAAATTTATATTTAAAAAAAAAACCGCGAACAACAGAGTTGTCAAACCGCCAAAATGGTGAAAAAACATCGAAATATTCTTGATTGAGTGGAAACAACATTGGAAGTGTGTATTCAAATAGCGCACGGCGCATCCCTTCCATCGGGAGACTTACCGTATATTCCCGATCAATCGCACAGCGAGAAAACACATTTACCCAGAGCGCCGAACGATTCCACACCGACCACCCGGACCACCAGCACAACCAAGCGGGAGAAAAAAATATACAAGACAGGCGCAGGGCGCGCTTTCGTTCCGTTCGAGTTCGTGCGAATTTAAAAATAGAAAAATGAGTAGATGTTTATCCTAATTTAGAAAATTGGGTAGGTATTTTTTAATTGAAGTTTCTTTTCTTTCCAAAATTTTAATTTTATTTTCTTGCTTGGTTTTTGGAGGCAGTGCGCGCGCACGAGCGCACTTATTGAGAAGCCGCCCCTGCTGGATTGTGGATGGTTGCATATTTGGGCGCGTAGAGGTCCACTGATTTTTCGTAATTTTCCATTTTTTACTTACATAATGTAAAAATAAACAATTGTTTTCGTATAAAAATATAAGTTTTCAGACAATCGATTGATTTATTAAAATTTGATAAAATAGAATTGATAAAAATTCGTTATTCGAGTGGGTTTCGTGGTGCGCAAGCGTATCCCTTCTTAGGCTATTTTCAGCCCAAAGGCACTTACGGCATCGGTGTGTCAATTTGGTGTGCAAAAATTTACCAGTAGAAAATACCTTTTTTCAATTGAATTTGAACATTTTGGGACAAAATATATAGCGTGCATTTAAGTTTAAAGTGCCTAAAATGTGCAGTGTCAAGCAAAAACTGACAGGATCAATCGGCAAGGTGTATTTTGTGGGAAATTAACCAGCTGATGGCGGATGGATCAGCCAATAAAGATCTCCGATACTTAACAGCGTTCCAAAACTAGAGAGGACAACCGATTTTGGTATTCTGTGTCTTCAAAAATAAACTGCTACATTTAGTGCTTAGCTTAAGGCTTTTCGCTTTGGAATAAAATCCAAGAAAACTAGACAAAATAAACGTTGTTTTGTCGGCAAGGCAAGGGCGTGCTTATATGAACTGAACACACCTCGTCTCTGTCAATTGATTCATTTTCATTCATAAACCGTGTAAAAAATCTAAATGATCCGCTTGAAAATTCGCCAATAAAATGCCGTACGTTTAAGTTGTGCAATAGTGAAGTTTACGGGCCCCCCAATTTACCCACGAAAGGATGTCTACCACGGCGTTCGTCGATCGGATCGATCCCTTTGCCAAAAGGTCCTTAAAAAAGAAAAACAAAAAGTCTCAGGGCAGCTCTAGGTACAGGAGTTCGCAGGATGTGGAGTTGCAGCCTTTGCCCTTCTTAAAAGGTAAATTTTGAATTCTGAGAGATATTCAACCCTAGTCAATAAGGTCGTCTGTCAAAATTCGCAATTTGACCTAGATGAATGAATGCTTTTAATTTATAAATTTGTTCAAAGCAATTCTTATTATCATTTTATCAGTTGTTTGTTTGGAATAACACTTGAAACCGCTAAAAAATTGTGTTGAAATAATTTGTATAGCCAATTAGAGATTATTGATTCTTCCAGATCACAAACAAACCAATACTTAAGGAGCCGATTTTTCTCTGTTTCAAAGCGAAAAGAAGAAGAATATTAAATAATCTTCCATTGCGTTTAGTTTTACCGTCTCTTTGGACAGTAATAACTAGTCTAGTCTTTGTTTTGGGCCCTTTTGGCAAATAGTTATTTTCACAAACCACATATTGTCCGTCGATTTTTAACTGATACTTGCGGTATGAGGAGCGAGGGGGTGTTTCATAATGCAAAAACAGGTGTAACGTCAGGAAACCATTGGCGTTCTAATGTAGGGAGACACCAGCTCACATTCCGTCCGAGTATCAGATTAAAATCGACGAACAATAGATACGTACAGGCTGTTAATGAATCATTGGTCTATTTCACAAACAGGCAGGCCATAATTTTAACTCCTTAAACCTATAGTTTCTGATATTAAATTTTTGATTTTGATATCAAGAGATCTGTTATCCATTATCCTACTTCTAGGTACGTAATTACTTTTCAAATAGTGGTCTCAAGAGCGTGACCTAATTGGGGATTAACCTTATTGAATAGTTGATGTCAGATAGGGCAATGACTCAATGACTAATAAATAGTCATAAGAATTAAATTCAACTTTTAGGTATTACTAGGTACCTATGCAGTATTAACTTAGGTTAATTTTATTTCTCTTATTTTTTATCCTTTTATTGAATCTTCAATTACACCATAAGAAATGAAAAATTTTCAAAATGGCTTTTTGATCCTTTTTAAAGTAGCAAGATATTTTTTTTTTTGAGGTAGTAGTTAACAAAGCTCAACTTGTGGACGGGACTATTCTGCAAATATTATTTTTATTGAATTTTTTCGAATCAAATCAAATAAGCTTTATTCAAGGCTTTATTGTACAGAAAAAATATATTTTCATCGACAAAACAATTATTTACAATAAATAGTAACTACTACTACCACTATTACATTTTTAAGGATTATTATAAAAACAAAAGTTTACAACAAAAATACACCAACAATTTTACAATCATAAAATTTGACCAGTAGTCAAAACATAAATAAAAATATAACTTGCATCTACAAATGATGCATCTGCAATTAACCCTCGTAAAATTCCCTGAAACCATAGTAAGCCCTGGCAACTAAACACACAAAACAACACACAATAGTCGTTGATGTTTTGTAGTTATTGAAATAAATTATTGAAAAAATTTATGCTCTCATAATTAACTGATTTTTTTGGCAATGCAAGTTTAGGGATAGGTGAGTGGGGGCAATTGATTGTTTCAAAGGCCATAAGCTCTCTCTTACACAAAACCAGAAAACTTTTTAAATATCAAACTATTCAAACTGACTGATTCAAGAACAAAACTGCAAGTTACTACATATCAATATTTCCTCTTGCTTAAATATAGGTCGTCTACAGCCCACACCTCACAGATATCTTATGCAGTATAAATACTGATTGGATTGATCTTTATTCTTTGCACAGAGCGAGGCACAGAGTATACCCAAAAAGCTATTCCATATCTGACATTATTATTATTATTATTATTAATATTATTATTATTACCATTGTTTTGAAAAATGTTCTCACTTTTTCGAAAAGAGGTGTTACTTCTCCAAGATAGCGGGCTGTGCCAAACTATTTCAGGAATTAAGAAATGATCTGACTATATTACAAGTTTTCAGGATGACAGACTTTTGAATACTTGTGTGAATGTGTGAGTTGAGCCCGAGCTGCTTAAGGTGCAAATCGAACATGTAAGGTGTTATTATTATTATATTATTATTATTATTATTATTATTATTATTCGAGTTATTATTATTATTATTATTATTATTATTATTATTATGTTCTTGGCAATGGAAAGCGGCCTAAGACCGATGAGTCCATCGCTTTTGATTTTTCACTTTTAGTTTTTTGTTTTTGGTACTTCTTTAAAAATAATGCACTAATGTACTGTTTATGGTACAGAGTGTTTGTTTATAACTGGAACACTCAGTAACTTTTTTAGTATTGAAAATAAAGGGCATGTTCAAATTTGAAAATTTCTTGTTAAATTGCAACGATCTTAATCGCCGCAATGATATTTTTTTGTCGCCATAGGTATACAGGGTGTGCCAAAAAAAGTATTTTTTTTAAATGGAACGCCCTGTATATTTTTGCATTTTTAAAATTCTTAGAAAATAAGCTTCATAAATATATCAAAAATATACAAGGCATTCCATTTTAAAAAAATACCTTTTTGGCGCACCCTGTATACCTATGACGACAAAAAAATATTATTGTATCGCTGAAGGTTGCAATTTATCAAGAAATTTTCCAATTTAAACATGCCCTTTATTTTCAATAATAAAGAAAGTTACTGAGTGTTCCAGTTATAAACAAACACCCAGTACAAAGATTTTGGTCTAGTCTATTTTTGAAAATGTTATTGTTTGGTGCACTTATTGTTTCTGGGCTTAGGGAATTCCATTTATAGACTACGCGATTGGTTAAAAAGTTTTTCCTTCCTCTCTTTTTTCAGTTTTTGGTGGTGTCCTCTGAGGTTTAAGTTTGGATTCATTTGGAACATCTTCCAGTTTTAGGTCTGTAGAGTAATAGCCATTTAGGATTCTATGTGTTTCAATTAGGTCTCCTCTTTCTCTTCTTTCTCTGAGTGTTGTCAACTGGAATTTTTGTAGTCTAATTTCGTATGGCAGATTTCTAAGTTCAATTGGAATTTTGGTTATTTTTCTCTGCACACTTTCTAAGAGATCTATGTCTTTGATGTAGTAAGGAGACCTAACTGTGTGGCCATATTCTAGTTTTGGTCTAATGTAAGTGGTGTACAGTTTTTTTTAATCTATTTACAGTTTGATTTTCAAAACCTTGTCTCATAAGATATTTTAGTTGATTGGCCTTCTTTACTGTGTGGGATATATGGGTTTCCCATTTCAGATCATCAGTGACATAGACTCCTAGGTCTTTCTGTTCTGAGACTTTTCTAAGTTCGATGCTATTTATTTGGTAGTTGTATCTAGGGTAATTTCGTCCTATGTGTAAAACTGTACACTTTTTTTCATTTAGTTTTAGCTGCCATGTGGTTGTCCATTTTTCTACAGTGCTCATCTTTCTTTTTTAGTTGATGCAGTTGTGTTAAAGGATTTCCATATAGTTTTTTGTCAAACGATTTTACTTTGGTTTGAATAGTTTTTGACAGATCAGAAATGTACGCTATAAAAAAAAAGAGAAGCAAGTACAGATCCTTGTGGTACTCCGCTGACGACTGGGTACCAATCAGAACTGGTTCCATTTGCTCGAACATAGAAAGTTCTTTGCGTGAGAAAGGAGCTACTTCATTGTAGGTACTTGGCTCTTATTCCATAATGGCTCAGTTTGTAGCAGAGTCTCTCGTGTGGTACTGTATCGAAGGCTTTCTGAAAGTCGAGGTATATGATGTCGATTGGCTTGCCTTCGTCTAGGTTTGTAGACCAGTCGTCCAGGCAGCTAAGAAGATTTGTTGTATATATATATATAGTAGACCTTTTTGGCATAAAGCCATGCTGTGTAGGAGGTATGATGTCATTTTCTAGGAGAAAGGATGTTATTTCTTTTACTAGAATTTTTTCAAGTACTTTGGACCAGTGGCGGCTCGCCCTAAGGGGCCAAGGGGCCGTGGCACTGGCGCAAAATATGTCGGCCCCTAAAATAATTTCTTTTTTCTCCAAACGTCAAAAAAACGCCACTTTGTTAACCTCTATCAAGATGTCAGAAATTTAATTAGGGAGTCCAAACCACGTGACTTTTGCCAACCAGCCGGCATTTTGAAATTTTTATGAGGTTAGAATACGGGTTGTTACATGTCAACGATGTCAGAAAAGTGTCAGATTGATAAAGCCTAGTACTCATAACCGCGAAATTCACCCTTTTTGACATTGCTTGGATAATTTGACGTTTGATTCATGCATAAAACGTCAAATTGCGCTTTTTTGTGCTTCAGCAGTATTGCAAGCCTCACTACGTTCGGCTCGCAAACCTACTACTTCAGCACAAAAAAGTAAAGCTTCTACTCCTAATACAACAATATACTATTTTTCTATCGCGAATGGTAAACTATCATTTAATCGACTCAAAACTCAATGTTAAAGTAACACTTTATTTGAAGTAGTGAAATCGAACAATTTTTACCCACTCATTTGTCAATTTTACCCACTCATATGTCAATTTTACCTACTCATGTCAATTTTACCCACTTGTTCAAATCTTTTATAATAATTATAGTGTTTTTGACAGAAATCTGATATCTTGCATGATTGACAACACCAGAAATGTGTCAGTTTGTTAGGTACTTTGTCAATTTGTCATAATCTATGTAAAATTTTAGCACATTTTAGTTTATAATTTTAGTAATTGTGATAAATAAAATGTTGCTCAAGAATAAAATAGAATATTACACACGACAGTAAAAAAGCTTTACTGTGGAATTAATCCACTCGCTCCTTCGTCGCTCGTGAAACAACATTTTTCACTCACAGGTAAAGCATCTTTTCAATTCAATTCAATTCTTTATTGTCTAACAGGAATACATACTCCCAATAATGAGACAATTAGTGCACTTAAGAGCGAACAAAAATATGAAACTAAAAACAACAATAAAAATAAAATAAAAATAAAAATAAAAATAAAAATAAAAATAAAAATAAAAATAGAAATAAAAATAAAAATAAAAATAAAAATAAAAATAAAAATAAAAATAAAAATAAAAATAAAAATAAAAATAAAAATAAAAATAAAAATAAAAATAAAAATA